CCCACTGTAAGGGTGTGTGCTGTTCGCTCGTCAACCTTTTTCTCTCCTTCACCCCCGTCGTCTACCCCGATTGCGCAACGTGGCGACAGGAGAAGGGGGCACGCCGAGGGAGGGGCGGATGTCAGAGCAGGCTGGTGAGCAGGGCCTCCTCGTCCTCCTCCGCCAGAACATCAGACCGACGGAGGCATGCGAGCAAACAAAAGACCCCCCCCAAGCGACAGCTTGCCCAGGGCCAGGCAAGGGCCCCCCACGGCCCGACAGAGACCTGCAGGGGCTCTTGCGAGGAACTTGAGCGGAGGAGGAGGAGGAGGAGGAGGAGGAGAAGGAGGAGGAGGAGGAGGAGAAGGAGGAGGGGGAGGGGGAGGAGGGGGAGGGGGAGGGGGAGGGGGAGGAGGAGGAGGAGGAGGAGGAGGAGGAGGAGGAGGAGGAGGAGGAGAGGTGGAGGAGGAGGAGGAGGACGGAGGACGAAGGACGAGGAGGAGGAGGACCTCCCCATCCCCCCTCCTCCCCTGTCCTGCCTTTGGTAGTGGTTGTGGAGAGTTTGCACACGCCTGGACCTAAACTCTGTTTTGCTGGACTTTGGCTGTGTTGTGCTTTTCGTTTTGCCAGGGAGGTGCAGGAAAATAGGTGGAGCAAAACGAAAGACATAACGACACGTAACGAAAAACAGCGTTTATAGGTCCAGCCCTGGGGCCAGCCCTGGCCCTATCCTTCGGAGCCGCGGGTGGTAGGTGTCCTTGCCCTCGCAAGCGTCTCCGAAGACATGCAAATGCGCGCGAGACTTCCCTTAGCCTAGATGGGCTCATCGTTGCTGGTGGAGGCCTACTGCTCGCTGGCTGGGGCTTCAGGGGCTTTCACCCAGCTGCTAGGTACGAGGCCCTCAAGCCAAGAGCAAGGCTCACGCTCATGCCACGCGCATGCCTTATTTCGGGGGCAACGATCGGGGGGGATGGGCATTAGGGGGGGATGCATTGACCCCCAATCGCCCATTGACCGCCGATAGGGGCCCGATAGCCCCAACCTGCCCAGGAAGGTGCGGATTCACTCTTGGGGGCCTATCGCCGATCTATCGGCGATGTATCACCGATTCCAGGTCGATGCATCCCCCCCATGTGCCGGTCCCCCCCCCATCGTTGCCCCTCGTTATTCACGAATGGTTCACTCATCTTGTACACTGGACGTTTCTTGTCGGCACCTGGGCAGACCCGATCTCAATGGAAAGTGGTCTCGGTTTCTTCACAGCCTGCAGGCCATCTTGGGCATGTTGCTGTCAAAACCCGTCTGCATCTCGCCTGCCGTCGAGCTCGAGGCCGTGGTGCCCCGGCCGCGGCGGCAAGCGGCAGGCCCGACAGACGGGCGCCACCGGGGGCCCAGGCGGCCCCTCCGAGCTGCTTCTGGTACGGGCAGTTGCAGACTCCATGCCCCGTGCCCGCACCGTCGAAGTGTGCGGAAGCCTCGAGCCAGGCCTTGGACTGTACAGTGCTGCTGAACTCCTGGGCGAGACCCTCGGGTCAGAGGAGGAAGAGGTACCCATACTTCAACCCTTTCCTCGTTTTTCTCATATTGGGGCCCCTGGGAGACCCTCGTCAACACCGCTGGATTCGCCTCGAAATTCTGGTCAGACGCACCCTGGGAGAGGTCTGGTGAGTAGCGGTATCCGTACTTTTTGGTTTCCCATCGGGAACATCGAGTGCCATGTGGCCCGCGACGCTGCCCAGCTGAAACTGCCACGGTCCCTGTCCAGCAGGCGTGGTCCAACCAGCAGGTCCCTCAGGTTGCCAGCCTGTGCTTGGAGAAGGTGGGCGATGGTGGCCGCCTGAGGTCCTCGAATGTGTTTGACCCCCTGGTCGGGAGGCACAAACTCTCCAGCTCCGGCTCCACCGGCTTCCACGATGACTGCATGGCCGTGCGTGCCGACTTCTGAGACATTCACGTTGCCACCCACAACCCTCAAGTGTCACAAGATAAGTTGTAAAGCGGGTCTCGGTCTGTAGCCTGCAGATCGAGAGCAGTGTCGTGAGGCGTCGTCCCGTGGGATGTGAGGCGACTGCATTTGCCAACTCGCGCCGTGCCGAGGTCATCTGGCCGCCAAATACTCCATGCAATTGGTGCGCATACAAGCTGGCAGCCTGCGCCCCTTACAACTCCAGGCGACCAGGCGCCCTGCATCTGCGAAGCGTGACAGCGAGCTTTTCGTCGACGGGCCGAAGAAAAACTTCACGTAGTGCAGCGTTGTCGCGGACTGCTGCGTCCCAGTGCGCCCCGCATTGGTCCGTCCAGGAACGGCCGTGGCCTTCTCGAGCCTTTGACCACAGGCGTCCCAAGTGAGACAGCAAGCCCATGACCCTGTCGCCCGTGACCTTTTTTTGGTAGAAGCGTGCCCAGCGTGAGCATGACCTGACGTGGCCATGCTTGGTGCTCCTCACAGAGCCTGGAGATGCTCGCCAACTCCGGTAGGGCACTGTCCGGCAACCTGTCGTAATCCGTGCTGCTGACCCGATCGACGCCCTGCGCTGCGTACGGCTCGATGTCTCGCAACGCTCGCCTCGGGTCCTCGACCGTGAGTGATGGGCGGCAGGGCCTCCCAGCTGGCTCGATTCCTGGTGTCCTCGGAAGACTCCTGGAGATGGCAAGAGTCGCGGGGGGGCAGACGTCCGCGTGGCCTGCCATTTCGTACTCCTGGCTTGGCGTCTAGGAGATCTTCGGGATGTATCAAGGCGCGGTCGCCGATCTCTAGCGTGCCGCTACTGATGGGGCGAGAGAGATTTGTCCAGCCGAGTGCCCGTGCTAGCGAGGATCGTGAATATGCCTTGTTCAGTCGCACATGCAAGCTTGTCGTGTAGGACATCTTGCTGAGTCTCCTGAGATTAGTACGTCTTCGTGCAACGCCTTCGATTGATTTCTTCCCATCCTCTTTCATATGGAGGGCCACGTTGTGGCAGTCGTGCTTCTCATTTCAAGGGTCAGAAAGCCTCCGCAGCCGCGGTCCGTCTGAAAGGTGTCCTGAGCCTGCTCCGAAAGACAGACGGCTTCTCAGAAGGCCGGAGGGCTTCTGAAGAGCCCCGCCGTTTTCTGAGAAGGTTTGCCGCTTCTCACCTCCCCTTGCGCCGAGTGACACACTCAGGGTATAAGAAAAGTTTGAGCGTTCTGTGTTCCGAGGCGGGATTTCTTCACAGCCACCGCCCGGGGGATCGACCTCTGGGAACGGTCGACGTGGATACATTCCAGGCCCTGGTGGTTGGCCACACACATCCACATCCACCGCCCGCCGGGGTCACACGGAGTCGTGTGTTTGCAGGCGGTGGACATGGCTTGGCATCGCTCGAACGTGTGCATTTTTCCTTCGGCGAGGACCATCGGGGAAGATCCTTGATCATTTCACGAAAAAACCACGCACGAAACCGAAAAAAACAAGGAATGGACGTCCGAGCGATGGCCAGATGGATGTATGCCTGCCGCGCAGGTTGGGCAACCTGGAACTACCACCACTCAGGTTCCAGCCGCAAGTCCCACGACCGTGCCAGTCCAGCAGTCTCGGTGGCAGCTGCTGGATTCGATGAGATGACGATGACGATGACGATGGCGATGATGAAGAGAAGAGGGAGGGGGTGAGAAGGATCGTGGTGGACGGTGGGGATGGACAACATGTTGCTCCTGATGCTGCTGTTGATGATGATCATGATATTGATGATGAAGATGATGATGATGATGATGATGATGATGATGATGATGATGAAGATGAAGATGAATATGCTGATGATATTGCTGATGATGATGATGATGATGGTGATGATGATGATGATGATGATGATGATGATGATGATGATGATGATGATGATTAGGATGATGCTGACGATGATGCTTATGATGCTGATTACGCTGATTATACTGATGATGATGATGATGACGATGATGATGATGATGAGGATGAGGATGAGGATGCTGAGGATTATGATGAGGATTATGATCATAAGATGGTGATGGTGATGATGATGATGACGACGATGATGATGATGATGATGATGATGATGATGATGATGATGATGATGACGATGATGATGATGTTGGTGGTGATTGTGATGGTGGTGGTGGCGAATATGGTGGTGATGGTGGTGATGAGGTAGCTACTCGTGGCTGAAATACGTACCCCGCTCTGGCTTCAAGGCAAAAGCAAGTCATACCACGCGCCTCCTCCTCGTCAAGCAGCCTGACCGTTGCGGGCCACCCTATGGGTAGTTGGGTATCGTTGGGTTCCCGTTTGGGAGCGAGAGTGGTCAAAAGCGAGGCAGGTTCAATTGCCATTTTGATTGGGCAACCTGAAACACCACTACAGTGGAGGCCGATGCCCAGAAACACCCTGCTTGCCTCCAGGGTGCCCTGGGTTTCTTGGGTTTCGATGGTTCTGCTCTGGAAAGCGTGACATTCCCACACCAAAAATCCATGGACGTCCTGGGGTCTCGGGGTTGGATGTCTTGTGGAACGTCTCTTGTGGACGTGCCTCCACTTTACTCCTGATGCCGTTCACCGATGCAGGGCGCGTTTCGATTCCTCCGATTCAATTCGATTCGACTTCGGTGGATTCCGATTCCGACTCGATTCGGCCTCGGATTCCGGTGTGGCTCCCGACTGCTCATCGGGGGCTTGCTGTCCTGCCGATTCCCGCCGATTCGACCTCTCTCCGGACTCGGATGCCGATTTCCGCCGATCCGATTCGGTCCGATCGCCGATTCGACTTGCCGATTCGGCTATGGGCTCTCCTGCCGATGCCGCCGCGCCGCGCGGCGAGCAGCCGCAGGGGGAGGGGGGGGGGGCGGCAGGCTGGCCGCGGCCCCGCCTCCGCGCATCCGCAGCCCGCCCCCTGGGCCGGGGCCCTCCTCCTCCTCGCTCCTCCTCCTCCTCCTCCTCCTCCTCCTCCTCCTCCTCCTCCTCCTCCTCCTCCTCCTCGCTCCTCCTCCTCCTCCTCCTCCTCCTCCTCCTCCTCCTCCTCCTCCCGCCAAAAGGTGGTCACCGTCGCTGGCGGGGCCCAGGAGGACGACGAGGAGGCCGAGGAGCTGCGGGCGCCGCTGCGGTGGAGGGAAACGGTTGTTGGAAAAACAGCATACAGTGAGCTGCTTGAATAAGGAACGTTTACTTTTCAAAAGGGGCTCGGTCGTTCCATTTATCGTTCCTTCTGCGTTATGTATTATTTATCGTTCCTTATGCGTTATTCCCTGGAGGAAAGGGGCTTCGTTCCTGATTTATCGTTCCTTAGGTCAGGCCGATGACTGTAAGCATGAACTTTTGGCGCTCCGCGCGGATTCCTTGGACCTGCGCTGGGCCTCCACGGCAGCGCCTCGGGCGCCGCCCCTGGCGCGCTCAGCGCGCCAGGCGAGGGGGGCCGCGCAGATCCAAGAAGCCCGCGCAGACCTTCAAAAGTTTATGTGTATGCCATGCCTGTTCCTCTAAATGAGTGGGCACTCCCCCTCTCCCCCAAAATTCAAGGTTGGCACGCGCGGGGGAGACCCGCGGTCGAAGTGCAGGTCCGTCGACCAACTGGGATCGGTACGATCAAGATGGGTGCGGAGAGAATGGGTGCGATGGCAGACAGCATGTCTTGTTCTTGTGGAACAGGGCTCGCTGTCGGTGTCGCTGCGTATGTTGCCCTTTTGAAACAGAGGGCCGCCTGCCTAACGGCAGCCGCTGTCGGTTTGAAACAAAGGCTGTTCTTGGTCATCGTACCCATGTGTTCTGTACCCCTGTTGGGCGCCCGAGGAAGAGCCGATGGTGCCACTAGTCAGGGAGCTTGTACAGAAAACGAATCAGGTCATCGGCTTTTCGGGTTTGAGGTTTGCCCACGTTCTCGTGGGCTCGCGCAGGTCTCTCGTCGCGCTCCAGCAGCTGCGCCTCGTCGAGAGCTTTTCCTGGGGTCGCCCGAGTGCCCGCAAGGGCACGGCAGGCCGACGAGAGGACGCCGAGCTGCCAAGAAGGGCGCCGCTGGGATTGAGGTTTTCGGGCCCTCCTCCTCCTCCTCCTCCTCCTCCTCCTCCTCCTCCTCCTCCTTCGGTTCCTGGCAGTTCTCCTGCGTCGGGACGCGTTCCAGCAGTTGCGCCTCGTCGGTAGCTTTCCGGGGGTGCCCGCATCGTCCTGGACGCCGCCCAGAGGCCCGAGCGGTGCTCGGGGGCCCCCAAGCAGGGGCGGTGGCCACACCGTGCGGTGGATCGGTGGGGGTTCAGGGTCACCGCACGGCTTTGGGACTCGGGTCGTCCTCCGAGGGCGTCGCGGACGACTAGAGCCGCCAGGGTCCCAAAGCCATGTGGTGACGGACTTCGCGGTGAGGTTTTTGGCGGACTTCGCGGTCACCGCTGGGCCTGTCACCACACGGTTGTGGGACCCCCAAGATGACCCGAACGCCACCAGGCGTTTTTCAGGATTTGTTTCGATTCGATCGGATGGTTCGGTCCCCGGACCTCCAGCCTCTCTCCTCGGGTCGGAGACTGAGAGCGGGGATTGGGGAAAGGGGGGTGGTCACGACGTCTGCGGCTTGCAGCTGGCGCCGGCCCCGCCACGTGGGCGCTTTCCCCGCTGCTGTGGCAAGACGGCGCTTTCCTCCGACGGGCTTCGGCGTCAGAGTCTGGAGGGCTTTTGGGCACGGGGCCCCTGGCGCGGCCTCGTGCCCCGTTTGTATATGCATGTGTAAACGAAGTAACCAACGAGGAGCGCAAAACGCAAATGCACAGTGCTGTTTATTGGGAATAGCATGCAATGCTCCTGGGCTCCGAGGGCTCTCTCTCTCTTGGGCACGGGGCCCCTGGCGCGGCCTCGCGTTGGCAAGCTGGCGCAAGAGGCAGGATCGAGGGGCCCAGTGGGGGGGCCCACGGTACGTCGCCCGCCGTGGCCCCTCCTCCTCCTCCTCCTCCTCCTCCTCCTCCTCCTCCTCCTCCTCCTCCTCCTCCTCCTCCTACCTCCTCCTCCTCCTCCTCCTCCTCCTCCTCCTCCTCCTCCTCCTCAGCTCGGCCCAGGGAGGCCTGCAGAGCCACCCGAGGCGGCCCAAGAGCGAGATGGCACCGCATTCCAGATTTCGTACTAGAGGGAGGGGGGTCTCATTTCGCGGGGGGTCTCTTCCAGGCCATCCTGGAGGGCCTGGGGGGGTCTGGGGACGATGTGTTGGAGGGTTCTCCCACGGGGGAGGTCTGAAATGGCTTGTCCTGGAGGGTCCAGGCCCCCTTTACGAAATCTGGAGTACCTTCTCGGCATGTGGGGGCAGCGGGGGTGGTTGCATCAGGAGCTGCATCTTGGAGCTGCCTGGACGTGCGCGACGGCCTCTACCAGGGACATGCGCGCTCCTCGTTGCTGTTCTGCCTCGGCCTTCGTCGCGCCCTGCGGCGGTTCCCGCTGAGTTACCCGGCCTCGGAATGCGCCGTTGCGAGCGTGCCGGTGCACCTCGAGTACATGGACGACATTCTCATGAAGTTCGCCCCCGGCATGGCGCACGTGTGGCTGCCCCTGCTGACCGACGCCTTGGCCTCCGTCAAGCTCCGCCTCAACCTGTCGAAGACCAAGGCGTGTTTTCCAGCGGCGGCACACGGCGACGTTCACCCAGTTCTTCGGCAAGTGGGTCTGCCGCAGGTTTTTGACGGCCTGGAGCTCATGGGAGGCGCGCTTGAAGGGAGGCACGCCGCCTCCATAGGCACCCTCGATGTCCCCCGAGCCTCGGAGAAGCGCCTGGCCCAGGCGGAGGAGCTCGCGCGCACGCTGGCGGCGATGCTTCGCACGCCCCTCGCCCAGGCCTCGCACCGTGCAGCGTGGACCTTTTTCGACAAGGTCCTCAACAGAGCCTTAGGCTACGACGCCCGCATTCTTCACCCGGAGTCTTTCTCCAGTCTTGCGGAGCGATTGGACGATGCTGTGTTGAGTATTGTTTGCCCGCTGGTTCGGGTTGACCGCGGCTTCCGGAAGTGCCGGAGTGGTGCCTCCGGCTGTCTGCGCATTGTGGTGGGTGTGACCTCATCAGCGCGAAGAGGAAGGCGTTGTTCTCCCATCTTGCGGGGGCGTGCCAGTTTCTGCCGGCGGTGGCCCAGCGGTTGCTCAAGCTCGGTTCCGACCAGGATTCCATCTCCGCGGCCATGGACATAGGTGGCGTGACCCACTGCCTAGACGCGCTCGCAGGGCAGGGCGTTCACGTCAGGCACGACGGGGTTGTGGTTGCTGGGGCGGCGCCTGCTAGGCAAGGCAGTCGTCAAGCCTCGCCGCCACCAATAATATTATCGCCGAAGTTCAGGGAGTATGCGAAATTGGCACCAGCAAATTCCTTGAAATTCAGAGAGTGAGTGAAATTAACATCGGCGGCTTAGTTGAAGTTCAGGGACTATTTGAAATTGACTTCGGCGGGTTTACTGAGGTTCAGGAAGTAACTGAAATTGACATCGGCGGCTTCGCTGAAGTTCAGGGAGTATGTGAAATTGGCTTCGGCGGCTTCGCTGAAGTTCTGGGAGTAGGGCAGGTTGTTGGCGGCGTCGCTTACTTGATCGGTCTTGTTGGTGCCACTGACGGCCAGGATGAGCAGCAGCAGCTGCTTCAGGAAGGCGACGGCCTTCGATTCCGTGGATGCGGTAGACGGCGTCGACTCGGCAATCTGCGTGGCGTGCAGCGCCAGCAAGCAGGAATATGGGCGGCGCGCAGCGCCGGGATAGCCGAGCTTCGCTCGTATCTGCCACCGTGATAATGGAGGGTCTCCGCGCTGCGTTCTAGGCGTAGCTCTAAGGCCAAGGGCCCTGAAACGGACCGAACAAAGATGATAACACAAAAACGGGGTGAGAGCAGCACACGCACGGACGAGGAATGAGCGAGAGTTCGGCAGGGCCCGACAGGGCCTTCAGGAAACCCTCGGGGCTCCCCGGAGTGAGCTTGATTCACGGGCGTGTCCGGGGACACGTCCCTGGGCTCACCCCCTTGCACGGCCCCAGGAACGTTACCTGGTGTGTCCCCTTCGCATGTCCTCGGCACGCCCCTGAACACGTTCACCCCTTTGGCGCGTTCCAAGGCACGGGTCTGGGGAGCCTCCTCGAGATTTTGGGACTTTCGGGCGCCCAGGACTAGACTTCAGGCGCCACAGAAAAACCCGCGCTGGAGTTCAATTTGTTGGGCCCCGAGGCCGTCAAATTTTGCCCGTTGTGGAATATCGTCGGGGCTCAACGCCGCGAAGGAGGATGGTGGAGGCGGATGTCGCCAGAACAATCGCAACAGTTTGAGGATTATTCTGAAGCGTTTCATCCGCAAAAACCCCTTGCATTCGCTAATTGCCATGCCATGTCCCAGACTCTTCTCTCGGAAGCCAGGCCCCCCGGATTCGTCAGAGTTACCTTGCGTTCGAATGCGTAAACAATGAGGGATCGACCAGTCCTACACCATCTGCGGATGCATAATTTAATGGGAGTTCCGCAGTGCGGATTCTCGTTGCTGGATTGTTGCATTTTCATGTATGGTGAAGTTGTTGATCCTCCCCGCGGTGCCCATTGGGTTTTTGTTATGGAAAGTGCTCCTCCGGGGGCCCGCACCCTGTTCTTACAAGGGGAATTTTTGCGCTTCAGATTGGATTGTTGGCCCCAAACTTATAACATCAACGACAGCGGCTCCCGCCTGATACGTCCTCTATCGCGCGAGATGTTCTCCAAATGTGTGAAGGAATCGCGTTTGCGCGTTGTAATTCCTTGCAGTTTGTTGAAGCGCCGCGCCGCCGAGACCCAGGAATCACGTTCGCACTGTGGACTTCTGCATGATCTACTTGGCAATGGCGATGTTGCCCGAGGCTTCCTCACGATTCGTGCAAGACTGACGCTTCAGCGACCCGCCGCTCGACCCCGCCGCCTGGGTCATCCTGGCCGGCTCTTGATGCTTAAAATGGCATGTTTTCCAGGCTTGCGGAGGTTGAATATTTGTCCTGTGCTGAGTTACACGCAGCACATGTGGTACCCTCAGATGGCGGAATGTAGTTTCCCGAGCGAGGTGTGCTCACTGACCCCCACCCCCCATAAAATTTCCCACCTGGCGGTGGACGTGAACTCGCCCACCCGAGCTTGTCATCACGGTGCGCACCACTCGATATTGCACATCCAGGCACGGGCGGAGCCCGCAGCGCGCGTTCCATGTCCATGTCCATGCGGGCGTTCGTTCCGTCCCCGCTCCCCTCCGCCGTCATCGCTGCCGTGCCTGCGAGCGCCCCAGGTGTACGTGAGCATGGGAGTGTCTGAGGGGACCCGCGGGAGCTGTGAGCACCGCAGGGCCTGTCAGCACCTTGGGGCTCGCTGGCGAAAGCAGCACCGCGCGCAGCAAATGCGTGCAGTTGAGCACCGCAGCGCCTCTGGACCACGCGAGAAGCACCGCTGGTGCCTGCAGGTACGGTTTTTCGCGCGCCACCGCGCTCATCACCGCTCAAACACAAATCTCTGTCTCCCCTTGCCGCCGGCCTCCCCGAGCACAGCCATGCTGCAATGCAATCTTCTCTCTCCATCCCACCCCCTCTCCAATCACATGTCCAGCCAGAACGTGCCTTCGAGCCCGCAGCGGAACTCGGACGGCCCACTCCCATCCCGAAGGCCCCGATTTGCCCTCCATTTCCGGTGGGAGGGGGGTCGGGGAATGTTGAAAAAACACATCTGGAACCCGCACCCCCCCAACCCGAAGTTCGGGTCTTCGGGCTGGGCTGGGGGGGTTTGGTAGAGAGTCACCTTCTGCCACCGCCCCCAGGAGTGGCAGCTGCTCTGACGACCGGCGCGCCTCCGGCTGGACCTCCTCTGCGGCTACGTTTCCCCTTGTTGTGCATGGGGATGGGCGCCCGTGGCACTGCCGTAAGTGCGCTGGGGCAGCCCAGGAGGATCCAGGCCGCTCGCGTTGAGTCGGGCGCGTCCCTCTCCAGGAGGACGATTGAAAAAAACAGTAGAGAAGTTGTCTGGGGACGATCTGTTTATCATGTTTGAGCATGCTGGTTATATGATGTGACTAATGTTTTATCTTCCGCCCAAAATCCGCCTGTGGGGGGACAGGCCTGACCTAACGCTCGCGCCGCATCAACGATGCATTGGCGATGCGGCACCGTCACCGATGCACCGGCGGTGCGGTGCAATCGTCCGGCCCCGTTGGGTCTGGGTCATCTTGGGGCGCCTCCGCGGGGGAGGAGAAGCGGGAGGAGGAGAGAGAAGAGGAGCGCCTGGGTGTTCCTGCGCACGTCACCGAACTCAGCCAGCATCGAGCGCCCTCCCAGGCCTCCGGAAGACGCGCCTCCTACGTAATCATGCTCCCCAAGGGGGCCTCTCTCTGTCCTCTCCCCGTCAAGCGAGCGGGCGGCATATGGCGACACGCACAGTTTCGTCCTGCCATAGCTTGGACAGGAGGCGGAGGTGTAATGAGGGAAGGTGGAGGGGGAGGAGGAGGGGGGAACGGGAAGGGGGATCGGGATGGAGGATGATGAGGAGCCTCCAGATCTCCGACGCCCTGATTGCTCCATCACCCTATTCCAACACCTGGCTCTCGACCCCTTCCCCGGGCCCGATCCTTAGTTCTGGGCATACTCCGAAGATGCTCGGTGCCCAGAAGATCGCCTCCAGACGCCGAAGTCGACGCAGGACTTCCGGTGGGGTTCTTTTCGCGCTGCTCGAAGCCTGGAGGCTTGGGGAGAGGAAGAGCCAGGAGCGAAAGAAGGACGTACATGTACATGAATCCACGCTGGTTTCGAGAGTACGCATCGCGCGAATGTTCGTATCATGCGGCCAGTCTCGCGGATCGAGGGGCCACGTTCATGTACATGGTTGGGCGCGTACGTCCTCTGTGGGCTCCCTAGCCCTAGAAGAGGGTCGAGACCTCCGCGGGGGCAACGTTTCGTTGGAGTCGCGCCGCCGGAGCTCCGGGCTTGCCGTCGCCGTGCCGCAGCGTGCCCCTCCCGCGCCATCCCGTTGGGCTACCGCCGGCCTCGCGGCCTTGCCGCGTGCCACAGTGCGGCGGGTGGTCGCTCTTGCCCCTCCGACGCAGCGGAGGAGGAGGAGGAGGAGGAGGAGGAGGAGGAGGAGGAGGAGGAGGAGGAGGAGGGAGGAGGAGGAGGGAGGAGGAGGAGGAGGAGGAGGAGGGAGAGGAGGAGGAGGAGGAGGAGGAGGAGGAGGAGGAGGAGGAGGAGGAGGAGGGAAGGTAAAGAAGGGTCTGCATGATTGCGGCAGACGGGCAGGCCCATCAGTTCAGAGGAGGGCGAGCCGAGCGAGACGAGAGCAGGTGGCCGTCTGGGAGGCCCTCGTCGCCACGGCTGGGCGCGGCTCAGAAGACTGGTGCGTCTGGATCTCGGGAGGGGTGCGGGGACAGATGTCGAGTTGCAGTTGTCTCAACCCTCTGCTCTGATAAGCTCATCTTGCCCAAGCTCGGTTTGCGCGCACAGGCGGGCAGGGCTGGGTGGTCGGGGCCTCCCACTGGGAAGGGGCCTTCTCAGAGGAGGCCCGCCTGCCCTCTCAGAAGTGCTCTTACTGGGCCCTCCACTGGCTTCCTGGAGAGGGGATCATCAGGCGGCTGATGTGAAGAAAGCGACGCGGACCATCCCCTCCCGTGACGTCCCCCTCGCCCCGCCCCAAGACGTGTGTATGCGGCCGGAGGGAAGCGCGGAAGGCAAGGACGGCGTCACGGAAGGGCACGGTTTGCTAGGGGTCGGTCGGGCCGCGCCCGAGACGGGTGCGATCATATTCCCCGTGGACGCGATCCTCGCAGCGCGAGCGGGAGCGTCCGTTGGCGCAGACGGCAGCGCGCCCGAGCGCCTCGCATGGGGCCGGAGTTCGGGAGAACGTCGCTCTGGGCCTCGACTCCCGGAGGGCCCCTGCAGGACCCACGGCGTCCAGCCGTACAAGATCTGAATGCGAGGCTCTCAGGGCTTGTCTCGATTCCTCCGACTCGATCCGACTCGATTGCGATGGCTTCCGATTCCGATTCGATTCGAGTTCGGATTCCGATTTGGGCTCCGACCTCTAATTGGACGCACAACGCCCTGCCGATTTTGCGCCGATTCGACGTTTCCCGACTCGGCTGCCGATTTCCGCCGATCCGATTCATGTCGACTTCCGATCCCACTTGTCGATGCGGTTCTGGGCTCTCCTGGGCTCTCGATTGTTGTCGAATGTCCGACCCACGGCTTCAAGGAAATAGTCACACGTGTCAGCATGGTTCCCTTCAAAGCTACAGTCGGGGCCCTGAGGAAGGAACCCTTTTCGTTGGGGGGCTCGGTGTTCCTTAATTGTTTTGCACTTCGCCTTTGGTTTTGCTGGGTTCCGATGGGAAATCGAAGTTTAAATTATGGGAGAAAGGGGCCTCGTTCCTTATTCCCCATATCCTAAGATGGGGTTCTTTCCATGACTTGGACGCCTCCTACTCCCTCTCCCTCCTCCTCTTTCCTCCTCCCCTCCTCCTCTTTTCTCATACTCAGACCTACTCATACTCAGACTTACTCATACTCAGACTTACTCATACTCAGACCTACTCATACTCAGACTTACTCACACTCAGACATACTCATACACAGACTTACTCATACACAGACTTACTCACACCCAGACGTACTCATACACAGACTTACTCATACCCAGACTTACTCATACACAGTATTACTCATACTCAGACTTACTCATACCCAGACGTACACATACACAGACTTTCTCATACACAGACCTACTCATACCCAGACTTACTCATACACAGACTTACTCATACACAGACTTACTCATACTCAGGCATACTCATACTCAGACCTACTCATACTCAGACTTACTCAACACACATCAGATTTGGAGGATGTCTCAAGCGGGGCGCTGGTTTCAGCACCCCTAAGGGGGGCCGCCAGGGGTGTTTGCACGGGCTCGTTCGCGGCCATTTTGTGGGGATGTCTCAGGCGGTTTGCTTGTTTCTGGGCTCAACATCCTTGGCTTGGAGAGCAGATTGTGAGGATGTCTCAGGCGGGGCGCTGGTTTCAGCACCCCTAAGGGGAACCGCCAGGGGTGTTTGCACGGGCTCGTTCGCGGCCATTTTGTGGGGATGTCTCAGCGGTTTGCTTGTTTCTGGGCCTAACATCCTTCGCTTGGAGAGCAGATTGTGAGGATGTCTCAGCGGGGCGCTGGTTTCAGCACCCCTAAGGGGAGCCGCCAGGGGTGTTTGCACGGGCTCGTTCGCGGCCATTTTGTGGGGATGTCTCAGGCGGTTTGCTTGTTTCTGGGCTCAACATCCTTCGCTTGGAGAGCAGATTGTGAGGATGTCTCAGGCGGGGCGCTGGTTTCAGCACCCCTAAGGGGAGCCGCCAGGGGTGGTTGCACGGGCTCGTTCGCGGCCATTTTGTGGGGATGTCTCAGGCGGTTTGCTTGTTTCTGGGCCAACATCCTTCGCTTGGAGAGCAGATTGTGAGGATGTCTCAGGCGGGGCGCTGGTTTCAGCACCCCTAAGGGGAGCCGCCAGGGGTGTTTGCACGGGCTCGTTCGCGGCCATTTTGTGGGGATGTCTCAAGCGGTTTGCTTGTTTCTGGGCTCAACATCCTTCGCTTGGAGAGCAGATTGTGAGGATGTCTCAGGCGGGGCGCTGGTTTCAGCACCCCTAAGGGGGGCCGCCAGGGGTGTTTGCACGGGCTCGTTCGCGGCCATTTTGTGGGGATGTCTCAGGCGGTTTGCTTGTTTCTGGGCCTCAACATCCTTCGCTTGGAGAGCAGATTGTGAGGATGTCTCAGGCGGGGCGCTGGTTTCAGCACCCCTAAGGGGAGCCGCCAGGGGTGTTTGCACGGGCTCGTTCGCGGCCATTTTGTGGGGATGTCTCAGGCGGTTTGCTTGTTTCTGGGCTCAACATCCTTCGCTTGGAGAGCAGATTGTGAGGATGTCTCAGGCGGGGCGCTGGTTTCAGCACCCCTAAGGGGAGCCGCCAGGGGTGTTTGCACGGGCTCGTTCGCGGCCATTTTGTGGGGATGTCTCAGGCGGTTTGCTTGTTTCTGGGCTCAACATCCTTCGCTTGGAGAGCAGATTGTGAGGATGTCTCAGGCGGGGCGCTGGTTTCAGCACCCCTAAGGGGAGCCCTCGTTCGCGGTCAGTTTGTGGGGATGTCTCAGGCGCCAACATCGCCGGCGGGGCAACGCCTCCAAAAGTGGTGAAACGCGCCCTGGGGAACCAGGGTTGAGGAGGAAGAGGGGGGAGGGGTGCGGGCGGGCGGAGACTTTTTGCAAACATGTTTGCGCCCGAGGTTGAGACCCGATGCGAAGTGCGGACGGTTAAAGCTGGGGTGCAGGTCGCGAGGTGCCGCTTGAAGCGCTTGTCACTCGTGCTCCCCATGGTGCTTCGGACGCGGCGCCGAGGGAATTCTTTGCCTTGACAAAAAAGATGCGCGGGCATATGCACGTGAATGAATGCATGCACGCGGTGGATGTGCAGCCGCGCTGCGCGCGCGTGTGCTCGCCGCTCACATGGACGCGCTCGTGGAGCAAACATCTATCATGGATAAATGCTCACCGTGGCACTACCCTCCAACATGACATGCACTTATGGCTTTGTGTGGCTAAACGCTCGTCTTACATATCCCACTGCCAACTATCCTAAAACATATGCACATATGGGAAGCTCCAAAGCTACCACGGGCTGACAAGGGGAAGGCCTGGCAGCTGAGGAGGGGGGATGAAGAGGAAGAGGCTCGCATTCAACCATGCTCAAAGCTCACTCTGATTCATGCGCAATCACTCGCATTAGGGGTCACTCGTCTTCGTCTGCCCTGTC